AGGCAAGGAAGAGGGAACAAAGGGGATCCAGAAACCTACCTGAAACCCGTCAAACAGTGTCTGAGCATTGCGTCCTCTATGATACCGTGCGAGCCACGGGCGCATCCTTAGCACGTCCACCGGCGTCCTCACCCCTAGGTACTTCATCTCGAGATGGACCCTTACCGGACACCGGCTTTCCCTTTCTGAAGCAGCGCACAGCTGGGTGCGCTCCCCCGCAGTGTGCGCATTCATGGCGAAACCTACAGGAGCTGAACCAGCGACAGTGGCTTTCGTTAAAAAGCCAACACACCCCTTTCCTTTGCCCTGCAGAAGAGCCGGAGGTTCCTCCGGCAGGCCCGGGAAAGGGAGACAGTCTACTGGGAGTCATGATTAAGAGCCATAAACTACCATCTTGAACCCCGAAATCCATACCTGGAACCACCGCCATTTTCTGACGAAATTGTTGGTCGTACTTATACCAGCATTGTCCCCCGTAGATTTTATAAGCGCCCCATATGAGATCGAGAGAACCAAAAAGGGAAGGGGCCTTGTCCGGGAAACGGCGCACCAGGATACTGGAAAACACATTAAAACCTTGCAACCAGTTGCCAAAGGTCCTGGGGATATGCTTACCCTTATCCGCCTCCGGAGCTTCACCCCGCCGTGGTCTGTCCACGGAATCCTTGTCGGGAGAGACCAAAGACAGCAGATCGACGTACTCACCTCTCCAAATTTTTTCTTGTGTATCCAGCGGAACATGTAACCCCAAAGGAGCCAGGCCGCATCCCACGGAACCTCGAAAGGTCCCTGTAGCCGACTGACCCAAGGAAACCTGAGCCCCTAGATCCTGCGCCCCAGAATGCAAAGGCCCAACCTGATTCCTAACACCATGGAGCCCTGAGACCCTACTGTCCAGCCCTATGGGGTCCCTACTAACTGCCTGTGGAAACCTATCAACTAAGGACCTAAGCAAACGCAACAACTCTCTTGGATGCTCGAGGGCACCAGCACTAGCGCTACTGGACTCACTGAACCGCTGGGAAGGCAAAGGTACCGGTTGCTCCTCCTCCTCCGATGTAGACTCAGACCTTGACCTCCTCTGGCCATCAGCAGCAGATCTTGAGGTGCCCTCTAGGTGAAGGCTTCCAAATCCGGATGCCTGAGGATGATGGGAGTGACCTGCGGTGCCCTCCTGGTGAAGTCCTCAAATTTCGGCTGCCTGGGGGTGATGAGTATGGAGTCCGGGTGTTCGACCGTCAATTGCCCGACCTGCCGACCTCCGCCCGCATCCAGCACCCTGGGAAGGATGAGCCCTGTGCAGGGCGCCGACGTTGAATGTCACTTCCGGGTTTCCCCGGGCGCCGCACGTCACTTCCGGGTCCGTGTGGTGATGTCCAGCGTCCTGACGCACGTCGCGTTCCAGGGCGCCGACATTTGACGTCACTTCTGGCGTCCACTGCCTTCCCACCGGAAGAGATGGCGGGCTCCTTGATCTCCCCGCCAAGCCGCCATCTTGACCCTCCAGGATGGCGCCAGGTACTGAACTCCGGCTCACTCCCTCACGAACCGCAGGACGTCCTCCACGATGTCGATCACGACGCCTGGGCACAGGACTTGGGGACAAGCGCGTAGGAGGCCCTCCTACCGCCATCGGGCACCTCCACTGCCGCCACCGACCTCGTTTCCGCCGCCGGCTGGGCCTGTAGACCGGCGAGAACCTCCTCTAAGGATCCAGCACCAGGGGACTCCAGGTACGCCTGTAACAAGGCTACCACAGCTTCTCTGGACACCGCTGCCATTCTACTGATCCCAGGTAAGTAGTCCTTGCAGATGTGAAACAGGAAAATCGTTAATTTAGCAAATTATTTGGTTGACTGTCAAATATAATATTATTGATTGTCTTTTATTACAGTCCCTGGGGGAAGCTAGCCACACTACACCTCTGCCCGGGAACTGGTGAGTACCCTCCCCTTTACTCACCTCTTAACGTACCCACAATGTATCCCCTTATAGACCAGCCCCTTATCCCTGCCAGCAGTCATGTCCTCCCTTCCTTATATTTCCATGGAGGTACTTCACAATGAAATCCTTATGAATGATACACCTGTACAACTCACGTTAAAGGGACACTTTAATCACCAAAACAACTTTAGCTTTATGCTCAGTTTTCTGCCATTTAGGGGTTAAATAACTTTTGTTTCTGTTTATGCACGGGCCTGGACTGGCCATTGGGCACACCGGGCAAATGCTCGGTGGCCCGTGGCCGGCAGGGCAGGTTACAGGATCTCCCAGGCCGGTCCATGCAGGGCCAACACTATACGAGCGCCGGACCCACTGTGTTCCATGACGGGCCGGTGGGGAGATCTAAGATCTTCCTCACCGGCCCACATGTAGTGTATTGCATGTGGCACAGGCTAGTTTTCACTCACCACTAGGGCCACCAGGGCTTGCAGCACGGTGCCCCTCCCAGGCATAAGGTAAGAAGGGAAGGGGGATACCATGCCTGATATTTAAAAAATAAAATAAAATACATACATATTGACATTAACCTGCCTCCCCTCAACACACAATCCCTCCAAACACAGCACACACACACACACACACACACACACATCACCCTCTCACAGCACCCTAACACACACACAGCACCCTCACACACACACAGCACACACACACAACACTTCCAAACCTATATGTATAAATACACTACAGAACCCCTCACACACATACTGCACCCCTAAACGCATTACATTCCAGACACACACTAGATCCCTTACCCAACTCTGGGTCATCTACACATACACACTCACTAGATCTCCTATACACACACACACACACACACACTACATTTCTGACACACCCTGTCTGGTCCCGCCCCCTTTTCAGTGGGCCGCTGTGATAAAAAAGTTTTTTCCTAGTCAGGCCTTGTTTATGCAGCTCTAGCTGCAGCTACCCTGGCTGTGACTGACACAGCGTGCATGAAAACAAAATGGTTTAATTTTCTATTTAGATTTTGAAAAAGTTTTTATCTCCTGCTCTGTACATTAAACTTTATTCACAGACAAGAGGCTCCTGCACGGTCAAGCAAGTTATTAACAGAGCAGGAGATAAGAAATTCTAAATTTTATTAAGACACAGATTATGCTGCACTCTTTCTTTATTTCCCTCGGCAGCAAAGAAAAGTTTAACCCCTTAAGGACCGGATTGTTTTTGCGATGTTGTACATTTGCGACCAGGCATCTTTTTACACTTTTGTGGTGTTTGTGTTTAGCTGTAATTTTCCGCTCTCTCATTTACTGTTCCCATACAAATTAAATATTGTTTTTTTTAGGACAAAAGGGGCTTTCTTTACATACCATTATTTATATAATCTCGTGTAATTTAATTTAAAAAAAAAAGAAAAAATATGATGAAAAATTGAAAAAAATACATGTTTTTTTACTTTTACTTGAAAAATCTTTTACTCATTTACAAAAGCGAATGAAAAAAACTGCTAAATAGATTAAAAATTTTGTCCTGAGTTTAACCCCTTAAGGACGGAGCCAAATGTACATGTTGTGAACAAAACAAAATATAAACAAAACCTGGCATTTGCGCTACATGTCTGTCCAACCGTAATTCACCTCTTTCATAGTAAATGCACCCACCCTTATTATACATCATTTTATTCAGGGGAAACATGGCTTTCATTTAATATAAAATATTTAGCTATGAAACATAATTTAATATGAAAAAAATGATTTGATTTTTTTATATTTTTTAGTTCTACATGACATTTTAACTGTCAATGTCATAATACTGTTTGCTTTTACTGCAATAAAATACACATATTTGTATTCAGCAAAGTCTCATGTGTAAGACAGTACCCCCTATGTACAGGTTTTATGGCGTTTTGGGAAGTTACAGGGTCAAATATAGCACGTTACATTTGAAATTGAAATTCGCCAGATTGGTTACGTTGCCTTTGAGACTGTATAGTAGCCCAGGAATGAAATTTACACCCATAATGGCATACCATTTGCAATAGTAGACAACCCAAGGTATTGCAAATGGGGTATGTCCAATCTTTTTTAGTAGCCATTTGGCCACAAACACTGGCCAAAGTTAGCGTTAGTATTTGTTTGTGTGAAAAATGCAAAAAACACCAATTTTGGCCAGTGTTTGTGACTAAGTGGCTACTAAAAAAGACTGGACATACCCCGTTTGCAATACCTTGGGTTGTCTACTATTGCAAATGGTATGCCAACATAAGGGTAATTTTCATTCTTGGGCTACCATAGGGTCGCAAAGGCAATGTAACCAACCTGGCCATTTTCAATGTAAAAATATTTGACCCATATTTTTGACCCTGTAACTTTCAAAAACGCTATAAAACCTGTACATGGGGGGTACTGTTATACTCAGGAGACTTTGCTGAACACAAATATTAGTGTTTCAAAACTGGAAAACATATCACAACAATTATATCATCAGTAAAAGTGCTCTTTGTGTGTGAAAAATGCAAAAAAAAGTCACTTTCAATGACAATATC